GAGACTTAAAAAACATAAATAAAAAGACGCACTCTCACAGGCACAGGCTTAACTACATATACGAGTAACTACTCACCTTTGCTCTATATACACTGAGAAAATCTAAAAGCGAGTACGCAGATGAGAGAGAACAGATTTGGTAGAAACAGAAACTACTTATCCGTATTATATAGGCAGGCAGGCTTTGCTTCATTTCTACACATATCTAGGCAAATTTTCTTCAATACTCCCAATTCAATATGAACCTTTAAATACAATTAGAGTGAGAGACCTCAAGCACAAATATGCCATATTGTTGTCATACCACAGATTCTGAAATGCAAAACTCAATCATGTTCATAAAACTCGTGCATTGTTTCCAAATCGAATATAGTTTATAATTTTTGTATTCAAAATTTCTCAACAAGAACTTTATTTTATTTCAAACTTTCGTTCGATTTCATTTTAAATAAAATCTCTCGTCCTATTGATGATATCTTAGATATGCATATAGCCATATATATAAACATACAAACATACTCACGCATATAACGCATCTGTATTTTGTATTATATTTGTTTTATTTTTTTGTCGGCAAAATTTAGGGTCTTGAGATACGAGGTCTTGGGATGTTGTACCCTATAACTACGTTTATTCGTTACAGCAATGAAAAGTAGATAAATACTAAAACATTGCAAGTGATGTTGGTGTAAAGCAAATATCTAAACTAAATCTATAAGAATACAGACACACGCACAGACACACACACACACACACACACACGCAGTGGAGTAAACGAAAATGAGACAAATGTATATATAGTGTGTTCTTGTTCGTGACGAGCTATCAATTAAGTTAGTTTAGGCTGCCTACAGACAAGTATATTAGCTATAAGGCAACTTCATCTTCGTCAACGGTAAACGGTAAACGGAAAACGGAACAGTTAGTACATAAAGCATATTTATTAGCCGTTTTGCAATTAAGTGCTAAATGACAACAATAAATGAAAACCTAAATTATAAATAAACACATATGTAAAAGCCAAAAGAATGTAATTTTAATATACTCACATACGCATAATATATGTATATGTATGTAGTATAAGTGCATAATTAAAATAACTAGTGATCTGGCAAATGCTAAATATATAGAGGTCATCGGGCCGTTAAACATTACGAACTACACAGAAAACACACGAGTCTCGCTAGTGAAAACAGAAAAACAACAACATTAAAAAGCATAATCCTTTAGCTAAGCGTTTGGTTAGAATTGAAGAAATGGATCGAGATTCTATAGTTGAATGCAATACACAATAAAACGAGTAATTCATTGAAATAGCCGTTTAAAAGAAAATTAATGTATAACATTAATGTTAAATTTAACATGCATTGCTAAACAAATCGCATTAATATTACATTTAACATGCAGTGTAAGACAAATAACATTATTGTTAAATACAACATGCATTGTAAGACGAATAACATTAATGTTAAATATAACATGCATTGTAAAACAAATCGCATTAATGTGAAATTTAACATGCAGTGTAAGACGAATAACATTAATGTTAAATTTAACAAGCATTGCAATATGAATAAGATTAATGTTAAAAATAACATGCATTGCAAGGCGAATAACATTATTCTCAAGTTTAACATGCATTGTAAGACAAATAACATTAAGGTTAAATTTAACAAGCATTGCAATATGAATAATATTAATGTCAAGTTTAGCAAGCAATAATTTTATTCAGCTTGTAATGCATGTTCAATTTAACAATAATTTAATTCGTCTTACAATGCATGTTAAATTTAACATTAATGCACAATTTATAAGGCATTGTAATATTAACAATTTGAATACAATCTTTTCCTACAAGCGAGTCATAAATATTTGCATGCACTTCCATCAGGGAATTGGAAATAGAAGTCTAAAAACTTGCTCAATCAAATGTGTAATATTTAAAGGCATTTTGATTTTACTTCATTTGCTTGTTTTTGCTTTCAAGAGAAACACAAATTCACACAAACTCTGAAAATATACTATTGACACTTCACTGGTCTAGGACAATAAATCGACACAACAACAATGCCTCAAGTTGTAGCTATCAATATTTTATATGATTTATTCGATTAATGTGTATTGTGCTCTAAAACCAATTAAACTCTGCAACATTCGCATAATGCTCTCAATAAACTTGGGCAATACAAGAATTATATAAAGAAAAACAAACAAAAAACAGAAAACAAGAAACCAAAATTAATTTAAACAAAGCATATGGTTGTATGATAATAAAAGATGAATATATTATACCCAAGCCATTAAAGTGAAAAACAAAAATAAATTTTAGATTGCCAAAGTCAAAAAGCGACGCTAAGCAGAACTCAAAAAACAATACTTAAAAAACAACAACACTAAGAAAGTTATAACACGAACAACAGAAGATAAGAAAATCGAGTACATATACTTACATACACATACATGCATTAACAAATTAAAACTAATGAAAGCAAAGCAAAAATATGCATAACAAAAACTTAAAAAACAAAAACAATTTAAAATGCCAACAACTACTAAAGGGCAAACATGTTAAATTAGTAAATAAAAACGCAAGAAACGATACAATATGCAATTAAATAAAATGTTTTAAACAATAAAAACCAAAAATGGAAATACAAAAATATTAAAGAATGCAGTTCCACATGGAATTCAAATGCTCGTTTCTCTGGTCTTGACTTAGTATAATTGTATATTCTTTTACACATTTCAGAACAACAAACGCTGCTTTGTACAACAAAACACGTTTATTTAATGAAAACATTTCAGAAATTAAAATTAATGGAGCTTCTGTCATTGGCCAACGCATATCAGTTAAGGGTAGTAGGTTTTCTTGAATCGCTCCTCGCGATTCTTGCGACCACCTGGCCGCAGCGAACGCGGCACATACTCCTTGTCGTGCTGATCGAGGGTGCGCTTCCACGGATTAATGTCCCGCTCGAAGAAGCGTCGACGCGCCTCCATTGCGCGCGTCTTGTTGTCAATCTTGTACAGCTTCTCCCACATGTAAACCTCGGGCAATTCTAAGTGCCGCGGCCGCTTCGAGGCCAAATGCTTGAATGTATGCTCCAGAAATTCGCGCTGCTCCGGATTTTCATAATCGGCAGCGCGTCGCAGCGTCGGGCCTCTCACGTATGGCATCAGCTCATCGGGAGTGCGCTGAATGCTCGGCGCATTGATATAGAGGCTGAGCAGCTGACGCAGCGTGCCATCGTTAAAATCGATGCATTTACCTTCCGGAGAAATTTCACCGTACAGCGGTTGCGGAGCCGTGCCGCGGCAGAAATTCACTCGGGCATTGCTATCCACATGTGGACCATGAACCAGCAGAGTGTTCAACTGGTACTCATAGAAGCTCCATTCTCGCCCGTTTGTGATCACAGTCTGGGTGTTTAGCGGGTAAGTTAGCTCGTTGTAGGTATTAAAGCCATTGTAGTTGGCCTGTGCCAGCAACCAGGCGTAGGACGATTGAATGCCCAGCGCATGCAGAGCCTCCAGCTGGTCGCGTTCGCCACATGCCTGGGGCCGCAGCTGTAGATGGGCGCGCGACTGAAACGAAAGCATCCCAAAGTTGGGCGCATTGGCGCTGGGCCAGTAGCCGGGCACATTGATGGCATGCTGATATTTGGTGCTGTAGCCCAAGGTGCGTGCATCATGCTTATAACGCGGCAACAGATTGGCCAGCGTCAAGTTCTCGCTCTCCTCGGGCGTTTTCCACGTGGGCAGCTGATGGCGGTGCCGCAGTGCCAAATAGGGCTCGCCTGTATACTGGACCAGACGGTCAACACTGTCGTATGCGTCCGCCTTCTGCCAGTCACGACCCTTCTTCGATTTGACAACATTCTTGGGCGGATCAACGCCACCGACGGCCCAAAAGGCCTCGTGACGCGGATTGTAGTCAATTTCGACATCATTCAAGTGCGGGTACTCAGCGCTAAGCACTTGCAGCGCAGACCGGTTAATCTGCTCCACAATAATCTGCGTCAGCTGTTGTTCACGTGTGACGGCATCGGGCGGCGTATCCAGCAACGTCAGCTTATGCCTGCAATGCTCAGGAGGATTAGCTCTGCTTTTAGCAACCCATTTAACTTACTTGTAGCAGTCGTGTGCGAACTCCAATGCCTCAATAACATCATCGCGCGCCACCTTCACAGTCGCATCCATATCAACCTTCTCTTCGCTGGGCTCGGCTTGCTTGGGCGGCAGCTCCTCCAGCACAGTGCGCGTGTAATGTTGCGTCAGCGGCAGGACATTGAATGGCACCTTGGTGTCGTTGAGATCTACCACTTTGTAGCCATAGTAGCGAGGCATATTTATTTTAATCATTTTTTCCTCAACTGTGGGTACTCGGCGTATCTCCTCGTGCCAGTCAGCTGCCGACTGCAGCTTGCGGCCTTTGAACGTGAGATCCCTAATGGCTGGATACTCCGGCTCTGCAGAGTATTCAGATTCAGCCACTGTCACTGCTTTGGGCTCCGCTTTAATGGCTAGATAGCGGCGGCAGGCTGCATTTAGACGCGCACGCAGCTGCTCTCCACGACGCAGCGTCAACATTTTCGCCGGTCTACGAATTTAATTTAAAACTATTAAAGTAAATGAAATTCGGAAAGCAGAGCCAACGAGGTTATGACATCGGACCTGGTAAGAACGATAACGATATATATCGTAAATATAAATGTATCGATTGCTATCGTTGCATTTTGCCAAACTATCGGTGCGTCGAAGCGAAACATCGCATTCAGTGTGATCATGCCGCACAAATTGAAACTTACAGGCGACTTAATTTTTTCCCGCCAAATAATAGTATATGCACTCTTTAAATATTAACTTTTTATTATTTATGTATTTATCCATTTCTTATTATACAATTTAATATTGTATATTGTAATTTGTTTTTAATAACTTAGTGCACGATAGTCAGAATATCGATTTGAAATGATATTCATTTTGCTTACTATCAGTGAACAGCGTACTCGCCCTACATGACGATCAGTTTTGTTTTGTGTGAGCACAATATGTGAATTTGGGAAACTAGTTTTGTATACTAATTATTTAGTGTAATTCCCAAATGAATGTAAGTCCCAACTATCCTGTCGGTTATAATCCACCACACAAATTTCGCTGACAAACGCTAAGCGAGCCCATATCTTATCTGCGAGGAGCCACTGTCAAAACTAATCAAAGAACTGCAAGTAAGTATATACATACATATACACAAGTAAATACATATGTACAGATATAGATATTTTTAACATATTAAAATATTGATAAACAAACTTTATTGGCGACGTCACGCGCTAATGAAAACTATTAGTTGCAAGTGACACGCACAAAATATGACCAATATGCCCAAATTGTCGGCGGCGCAGGAGCGCACTCGAGAATGGCTGGCCTCGCAGGAGGAGGACGAGTTGGAGTCAATAGCCGAATCATCCGTGGTGGACAGCTTGGATGATTACAAATACAGCGAGCACACGTTCACCGAGCAAGAGGATGAGGACGAGGAGGATGACGATAACGATACTGGCGAAGAAGTCAGCACCATTGCGTTGGGCACACGAATGGGTGAGTCAAGCACGTCAGCTATATAAATATAAATACAAATATATACATATATATAGTATATGCATTCTTTATTAATATCAATATGGTATATACATAATATTTCGACAGGCGCTAGCAAAGGCTCCATCATAATGGACACACTGCGCGATCTCCTCAATTCGATCAACAGCATTCAAACCGTGGGAAATGTAAACATTAGCAACTCCACGAATGTGCACATTGGCAACGTGACCAATATCAATGGCAATATACAGATCATTGCCGATGGCCCAACAAATCCGCGCAGCAAACGCAAGGAGCGTCGAAAAACGTCTCTGGTCGACGTGCCAGATCCAAACGAACAAAATCAGCAACAGGACACAGAGCTGGACGAATCTGAGGAGTGCGTCAATGCCGGTGTCTTTATCAGTAGCCAAAGTAAGTACACCTGAGCATGCTCTTTGCCCTGGCAGTAACAAATTTTATATGCACAGAATTCAAAATACCCAAGGAGGTGTGTTCCATAGTGCCGCGCCACTCTTGGCTAGCCCAAATGCCCATGGAAGCGCCAATAAAACTGCAACGACCCGTTAAATATGTGGTTATATGTGAGTACCTAGCCTTAGCCCGTAGGAATTTATTAGCTACCATGTATATTAAGGCTTCTTGGTGGGGCTACATTCCCAAATCAATGCAGATACTGAGATCTGCGGTGCATTCATGCACAACATGCTCTAATGTCTATTCAATTCACTTTGTCGAGTTGATTTCTTGGGAAACAATGTCCGATGGGGGAGCCTATTAGGATGTCATCCTATTTAAGGTTGACAGATCCCGAGAGCGTCTAAATTGGGGGAAAAGGATCCTTTTGGCTTGTCTATGCCACATACAGTCTCGTTTTAAGGTCTGTTTTACCCCGTCTTGTCCCAGATCCCGAGTATTCTGTGTCCTTTTAAGAGAGGCTAAGGGCCGCTCAGTGGTATATTTGACCTTCGCTTTGCTAGAACAACGACCATTCCGTTTTCTGCACAAACTATTCTGCCATAACAAACATAAACTTGGATTTTAATGAATATATGCTAAAGCTAAATGGGAAAATACGGCGATCAAGTAAAAGGAGCCTAGTTAACTGGTATTATATGACAACAAGCCAATAAATAGATGGCGATTTATATGCCCCACAGCACACACTGCCACCGAGAGCTCCGAGAAGCGGGCCATCAACGTGCGTTTAATACGCGACATACAGGTGAGCATTGGACTTCATTGCGGATCGCTTCATGAAGCTGTGCTAATCTTAAGACCTTTTTCGTTTCGCTCAGTGTTTTCACATCGAGAGTCGCGGCTGGAATGATATTGCCTACAACTTTCTTGTTGGCTGTGACGGCAACATCTACGAGGGACGCGGCTGGGAGACAGTTGGCGCGCACACCTTGGGCTACAATAAAGTCGCGCTAGGCATAAGTTTCATTGGCTGCTTTATGCGCGAACTGCCCACGCAGGATGCGTTGAATATGTGCCGCAATCTGCTGGCACGCGGCTTGGAAGATGGACATATAGCCCCGGAGTATCGCCTCATTTGTCACTGCCAATGCAACTCGACGGAGAGTCCAGGTCGTCGTCTGTTCGAGGAGATACAGACCTGGCCGCATTTCTACAATATTGCCCAGGATGAGCAAAAGTAGCGTATTACATGACTTCTCGGAACAGGATTTCGATAAATATTAATGTGGTGGTTGTCGTGGACAAATAATTGTATGCCTTCAAAAGGCGCGTGTCTTGTTTTCGTAACGTTTGTCCATAAATCTGTCCTTGCTTAAACAATATACGATTCCAAAGATCTATTTTTCTACATGTTTCCCTATAAACTATGCGTTTTTAATATCGAGTGCACATAAATTAGATTATTCGACAACATATTTAGATTTTTTCATTATTTAATTTCTTGTAATTCGTATAATTTAATTATGGAAACAAGTCAACATTTTGCCCTTGCATCTTGATGGCCGCCAGTTGATGTGGTAGCGTCTAGGCAGTTTCCGATTTGCGAGCTGTTCGGGAATACATAAATAATATAGTTAGTATAATCTGATAACATGATGTATCGTACATTAGTTAATAACAAAACGCAGAGCTTGCAGTGGATTAAACAAGAGGCAATAGCAAAATTTCGCATTTGCTGAATGGAACTGGGCAGGACACATGAGAGAGAGAGAGAGAGATGCTGTTATTTTTGCGTAGTTCTATCTCACTCGTACAGTCAAAACGCTTTTGAAGGCAAATTTTAAACTGGTTAAAATCTTGAGCACATTTAAAGGAAACCAGACAACAGGCCGGCTAGTTAGTGTTCAGGAGCAACAGTTGAATTATAACATGCCATCAATTGGGGCAGCTCAAAACTTACACATTGCTACATAACTGAGTTTCGCAGTTGCTTTTTATGCTTTATCATCTGTAATACACCGAGAAATGGGATAATGTTTGACTTATTTGTAGACCAGAAAGACTAACGAGGCCATTTTGGCCCACATATATATACATATATACACATATATATATGTATCGCATTTATATAATGCATATTTGAGCAAATCCGTTGATCTTTGCTGGAACTTTTATGTATAAACTGGCCCTCGATCTACGATTGCACAACGATTACTTACGTGCTGGCTTGCCGTTGGCCCAAGGTGTAAACTTCACGTGGCTCTCGTCGCGCTTGGCGGCGGCGGCGCGGAGATCCGTGCGCAGGGATTCACGCAGCACACGGGCGGCAATGTTGGAATATTGGATGTAGCTGGAAAAGTTCAGATATAAGACGGATGCATTCGATTATGGAGCAATTGGTGTGTGTGTGTTAGTGCAATTGCAGCAAACAACAATTACGTAACGTACGCAAAATGCGTACAAAATAACGCCGATGTGCAATTTATAAAGTCGGTTTATGCTGTTTGCATGTTTTACTTACGTAAGTCCAGCTGCTCTCCAGGCGTTGGTCATTTTGATAAATCTTTTTCGCAAATTATTCGCACCGAGAACAAAATTTCAGACCTTTGCTAGAGCAGGCGCTTTCGGAGTTGAAGATGAGACTTACGGATATTAATATCCAATCGATATTTCGAATCCAAATTTTCGATAATACACTCAAGCAACACTGCCGATACTTATCTTGTATCGATGCTATATTGGAAAATATTTTCAATCTTACAGGTGATTTTGACAGAAGCTTATTTATTTAAGGCTGTCAAAAGCATAACATTGAATTGCCGTTTGTTGTTTTAACTTGCATAATTTATTTAAAGCAATGAGTCTCAATACTTTAAATGATATCGACCTATCGATGCTTAGCAGCATCGAATTGTACTCAGTCCCTCCGCTTTGTTTGTGTTGCGTCTCTCTTGCACATGTGTAACAGTTGTTGTTTAACACAAATGTTTAATTGTCAATAAATTGACCCGTCGATTTAATTGCTGTGTTATCATTCGAAATGAACTTTTGGCAGCAAGTTTTCTTGCAACAAGTTTAACCGTAATGCGTAAACATTTGCACAATGTGTAATCACTGCCATATGTGTATATATCGTGTGGATTATGTGGAAAACATGTGCCGCTAACTTATCCAAAGGTTAAGGTTCAACCAAGCATATTTAATTATTGCACAACTCTTACACAGCCCAGTTATTGTGCTCAGATGCAGTGCAACACAATGTCTGCCAAGCCACCGATATTAATTATTGAGCCATTCTTCGGCGGCAGCCACAAGCAGCTCATAGATACGTTAATTGAATGTAAGTAAAGTATTCAAAGAGCTATAATTCTTAAAACTGACATCGCTGCCAACAGGCTTGAACCTGGCCGACTATGAGATCTTTAGTCTTCCTGCCAAGAAGTGGCATTGGCGTGCGCGCACCTCAGCGCTGTATTTCTCGCAGCTAATACCGCCGGAACACGATTACAAAGTGCTGCTGACGAGCTCCGTGCTGAATTTGGCAGAGCTTATTGGTGTCCGGCCCGATCTTGTCAGCTGCCGCAAGATTGTTTACTTTCATGAGAATCAGCTGGTCTATCCGGTGCGTGAGGTCAAGGAACGGGACTGCCAGTATGGTCTAAATGAGATTCTTACTTGGTGAGGGTTGAATTCTTTGTTGTCTTTGTCGATTCCAATTTGCATTTTCTGCCAGTCTCGCCGCGGATATCGTCCTTTTCAATTCCAACTTTAATCGCATGTCCTTTCTGGACAATGTGCAGCCCTTCCTGAACATCCAGCCCGACTTTAAACTGAAGCACATGCGAGAGCGCATCGAGAAGAAATGTGAAGTTCTGTATTTTCCCATCAAGTTTCATGCCTTCCCCAATAAGCGGCACATCATGGACGCGGATATAAACACTGAGCTGGACAGTTTGCATTTGATTTGGCCACATCGCTGGGAGCACGACAAAAATCCGAAGCTGCTCGTGGAAGTGCTGATGGAGCTGAACAAGCGTCAGGTTGACTTCAAGGTGACAATTTGCGGTGAGAGCTACCAGGCGGTGCCGGAGGCCTTCGATGGCATACAGGAGAAACTGGGAGCCAAGCTTATCAACTTTGGCCACCTAACGCGCGAGGAGTATATAAAAACGCTGCTAACTGGCGATATTGTCATCTCGACGGCTGGCCACGAGTTCTATGGCGTGGCCATGCTGGAAGCCACCTATTGCGGCTGTTATCCCATTGCGCCCAACAAGCTTGTATATCCGGAGATTTACCCGAAGGAGAACCTTTATAATACGTCCAATTCGCTGATTAAAATGCTTTACAACTGGTGCCGCAATCCGGAAATCTTTCGCAGGCATCGGGACAAATTCTTCGATTACTTCACCTTTGAACGCTACTCGGCACAGCATTTGGTGCCCAAGTATATGGAAAAGATGCGCATTTCGGTTTAGTGGTGCCTTAAAGACACATCAGTACGTAATATGACAATTCCAATTGCTGTTTTGTGCAATAAGCATCGAATTTAGTTCGTAAGCCAAGCGAAAGATAACTGACCAATTTACCACAAATACACATAATACATAGGTATATATATATTGCCTATATACAATTAATTATATAGTTGAAAGCCATGCATATGTGTAAGTTAATAAGGCCTGTTCACAATTGCTTGAATGCAGCAGTACTCTCTTTTTAAATGTTTGCCAACAATCCTATATGTTTATCTTCTTATACAATTGTTAATTATGAATTGCCAGTTTTTGGCAGCAGGTTAGCTGCAAGTTGTTGTCGTCAAATATGCATTTCGTTATAGATTGAAATTGAGTTTGTTATATGCCTAAGATTGATGCGATTATATACATATATGTATGTGTTTGTTTACCTTAAATCGCTGTATGATATTATGCTTAAATCGTATATGTGCATATGTATTACAATTATTTAAATTGGTTAATCAATATCGGAAACCGTCTTGTATTGCGAGTTGGTTTTTTCCCGAATGTTTTATTCGCCAAGCCTATCCCTGTCTCTGTCTTAACCATGATTTCTGTCTCGCATACAGAGACGTACGCGTCTGAAATACTCGTGATTTGAATCAAGACATGTAAGTTAGGGCTTTGTAAGAGAGTACCTCTTTAATATTGACAGTTTTGATACATTCACATTATGTACACAATCTTAAAATTAGCTATTTGCATCCAGGATTACTTTAAAAACGAAACACAAAAACGCTTAAGCATACAAAATGAAAATAAAATTAACTCAAACTCAACAAGCACGCCCAATCAGGCAGCATTAAAAGTGATTCTCTTTGAATTTGGGCGGCGCCCTGTACTTCTCCTTGATGTGCGCGCGGTACTCCTCATCGTCGTGGCACTCGCGATAGCATTGGGCACAGAAGAGCTCCCCATCACAGCCAAGGCAACGGTAGACAGCATCCTCGTTGCATATATTACACCAAGGCAGCTCCTCGTTTTCGCTGCTGTTCGCATTGTTTGTGGTGCCCAGCTCCGCCTCTAAGGGATCGGCTGCTGCCGGCAACTGCGATTCCGCTATGTACTGCAATAAATCGAGTGAGTTTAAAGTATACAAAACAATTTCAAATCCCATGGCACCTTTTTCATGATGTCTTGCAAGACAGTTTCATCGTTCTCGTCTTCGTTATCACTGGGAGTATTTGTGGCCGCCGAGCCAGCTGCAGCTTCCGATCCAGCACCGTCGATGGGCGCGTCGCGCAGGGCACGCAAACGTCTTTCAATATCGGAGATGGCATCGTTGCGGTCATCGTCGACACGTTGATCCAGCTGCGTTTCGCCCATAAACTGGTGCAGAAGATCCTTGATTTTGTCTTGATCAGTTCTTTGGTCGGTGGACAACAAGAGATCCTTTTTATCATAATTTTTCTGATGCGGCATGCCGCTCAAATTGGAGAGACGCGCACGTATATCGTCATCAGTCGCTTCGACAGCCTTCAGATTCTGCAAACGTTTGCTTATTGCGCTGTCCAGGTTCTCGTCAATATCCTCGCTGCCCGTGGCCTGAGCTGGGGCCGCAGCTGCATTGCTTATGGGCGCCAGCACAGCGGCCAGCTCCTCAGAGGGCAGCACATTGCTGTAGTCGGGGATAATGGTGTATAAATATACATATCGAGCTTAGCTAACGATTGCTTTAATTACGTACTCGAAGAGTGCATCAGCTGCCTCGGCATCGGCTGGCGTTGTGTTCTTTGGCGGCAGACGCAGCTTGGTCACCAGCTCTCCGGGCAGCGCCTCGCAGTCAATGACTTTCTCGGCATCGGCGTTGGCCTGCAGCTTGGACAGTTTGTCGTAGCAGATGAGGCACACGTTGAGCACCTTGCCGCCATGGCGGGGCACAGCAATTGGCCTCTTCAGGCACTTTGCGCAGTACGAATAACCGCAGTTCGGGCAACCGTGCTGCAATAATCTAATTTAAATCTACGCCAAATCATACCATGTACAGCTAGGCAGCCTCCTTACCTCCTTGCAGAAGAGTCCATACTTACGGCTGCAGCCGTAGCAGCTCATTTTGTGGGCAGCACAAAGAAAGTTTTCTTTTTTAGAATTTAGAAAAAGTAAACAAAGATCTTATTGGACGAAATCAAAGCTTTGACTCACAGTATTTTGCTCATGAGTATCGATATACACCGACGTGCTATCGATATTTTTTGTTTGTCTTTGTTCACTGCCGTCTCTAGACAGGCGCATTAACGCTTTTGAACCAGTGAACCGATTAAAAATGGATAAATAGGCCGTAAGCTATGCATATACATATATGCAACTAACTAACCTCTGTTAACTAACAAATGCGTCATATTTCATAGACAACGGTCTCTTCCAAGCCTTAAACTTTATATATCTTCTGAAATGTATCGTCTTCTAAGCGATTTTTCCAAGGATATATTGATACTATTTGTTATCATAGTTTACATAGGTTGTATTGAATTGTTACTTTATGTTCTGTTGAATCTATGTGGTTTACTCGTTTTTCGTTTCCCCATGCTCACTCTCAGTTCTCCGTACTCCCACTTACCAAAATCCCACCGACTCAGTACATGAGAATCGTATAGAGAGGCGACTATATTAGAGATATACATAGAGTACATTACAGATTTTGTCGATTGTTTCTTTTTATTTGTACATACTCATAAAAAAAAACCTACGATATATTGCAGAACTTAAGCAGCACAACTGAAGTAACTTTTAGCTGCCGCATATTTGAATTTCTCACATTTATATCGCCTAATGCGAAGTGAGTTCAGTTTCAAAGGCTAAATAGATGAAAAATAATATAACATTTCCACGAATATTTTATATTTTAAAACCTATTTATATTTAAAAGTTTCAGGGAATGTAAATCTTTTTGTTTTTTTCATTTTGGCCATGAAACTAATATGCATATTAAGTTTTATATATATAGTTTATCATAATTATATTTAGTATAAATGTAAAATACAAAATTTCATGCGTGTTTGTATATCGTGTTGCGCATATATTGAGCCATATGCAGTATTTTAGACTTTAAACCTAGGAGTATGGGATAAAATATAACTTTGAAGCTGTGTTTTATAGGTTAAGGAAACTTGCGTTATTTTTTTGGTTTTCTTTTTTTCTTTTTCTTTTGGAAACCACAAAATAAATAGAATTCCCGATTAATACACGAGTAAATACTTTCATTGCTGCAGATAAAGCGGTTAGGTCGGTTTTGGGTTGTCTGAGTTCAATTTCTTTTTGCATTTTGAGTGAACTATTCGGATGGAGTGAGATCGCGTTCCAGTTCGTTTTCATTGAGTATTTGCGATAGCAAATCGTGCAATGGCTCGAGAATCTTTTTGGCGCCGGTATTGGTGAGACTCTTATAGTCGAACATATCATGATGGCTGATGCTGCCGTCTGGCTGCACCAGCCCCTTGTCGATGGCAACAGTTTGCACGCGATCCAATCCCTTTGTCTGCTCCTTGACTAATTCATTGATCTCCGCATTTTTATCGCGCAGCGCATTCGGTTGCTGGCCCCGTGGTAGTAATGACTGCGAAATATGTAAAAGTATCGTATTGTGTATATGGTATGATTTTGAACTAAAGAGTTGCTCTCTGGTTTATTTACCGGCAGCAGAATGTACGCGCCGGGTAGTTTTTCGCGTATCTTTGTGACATTGGCGAGCAGACCCTCGGCGACTTCGGCGGCGCTGTTGCTCACGTTATTGGTGCCGACGTGGAGAACAACTATTTTGGGATTGACATTGTCGAGGGCGCCGTTCTCGATGCGCCACAGCACATGTTCGGTGCGATCGTCCCGTATACTAAAGTTGAGGCAGTGCAGCGGTGCGAAGTACTGGTTCCAGGTGTCGGTGTCCTGCAGCGTTTCGAATATGCAATCGCCGAGGAATATCACGTCCGGATCCTTTTCGCGGCAATCGGATATAAATCGGCGATGTATGCTCTGCCAGCGCTTGTCGCCGTCAACATCGGGCACGGCTGTGGGCACAGCGCAGGGATTCATGTTGTTTTTGTTGTTGGTGTGTTTTTATATTCAGCATGCGGTGTACGCTGTTGCAACCTTTTAAACAAAAATACAAATTGCTTAATGGACTCGTTAGCAAGCGGCTGTCGCAGCACTTTTGTAGGAGCACCTTTTCTATGAGTTGCCCAAAGGAGTTTGTATAGCGAACTCAGGTGAAAATAATTATAACCAAGAGAATAATTGACAACACAAAATAGCGGCGGCGTTAGTGATGTACAACTGCACCGATCATCGATTTTAATCATCACTTCGAACAATCGAGAAAAATTACACACGATATATCGGTAATTGGTGATTGCTAGCCATTTTAATTTAATAAAGGCTAAAGTGTTTGTTTGATAAAACAAAATTAAATAATAAACAAAAAATTTTATTTTGCAATCGTTTATTTCTTATAACAAAATGATTGCCTTCTCCATGGCTCATTACTCTGTTCTTTGAAGCACAAACATTGCTTGAAACATATAGAAAACTTCAAACAATTTTCAAAGTTAGGCATAATTTTCGAATTTTTATTTATGCTAAGTTCAGTTCAATAGTATTTTTCGTGCCTCTCGCATTATCAACAAAGCAAATTTGGCTTAATTAATATCGATAGCTATTGTGCCAAATCTACACAAATTTATATCGGTATTGCAATCGGCAATAGTTTTGCAGCCCTGGCCGCCGCTTGTCACTTTTCCCTGTCATCAGACGAGACACTAGACGGCAACATCGCTTCTGGGGAAATTACTGCAGTATTTTAACGAATTTATCGCATGGAAAGCAGCATTTTATAAATAAACAATTATAAAAGCGCAACGCGCGATTCTAGCACCATGGATGTGGACCTCAGTCTGGACGAGATAATTGAGCGCAAGCGCATACACAACCCCCCACGAACCAACGATAAAAAACTGTAAGTGCTCGGGCCAAAAGAAAATGGCGCTGCTCTGCTAACGTTTGCATATTCCGTTAATGCCACAGCCATGCCGTTCAAATGAAGCCGCGAAAGCCGGCTAACAAGCCGGGTCCACACACGCGCACCTACGATGCACGCAACAAGATCATTCAGAAGACGCGCGCCAAAATTGTGGATGCACGCGACATACTCAACCAGAACATTCGCGATTCTGGCATCGATGCCCGCAACGTGCTGCTCGAGCGCAAGAAGGAGCGCATGCCCATGCCTCTGCCGCTGCCGCCGCAGCCGCAGTCGGGGCGCGCGCCATCGCGAGTTGGCGGCGGCGGCGTCGGCGGTGGCCTGCACAAGGGCCGATTTGGTCAGCGGATAATTACAATGAGCAATCGGCCGGGCGGCGTCATACAAACGCTCTGGGATCCCAAGGAAGAGCGACCCTCACATGGCGGCTACAAGTCCGGTGGCAGCTCAGGAGCGCCGTATCAATCCAGTCGGCTAAATGCAGCCGCCAAACCATTTATACCACGCGGTTACGTGGACTACGACAATATGCAGGAGTTGGAGGATGGTGAGTTCATCCGTTGCCTCATCCAACTTAAACGGTGAAATGTCTCTGTTTGTTCTTGTAGAGGAAATTGCACGCACGCTGCATTTGGGCAACTACAATAGCCAGCCGACCGGCGGGCAGCGACCACGCATGGGTCACGGCTATGACGGCTATAGCTTGGACATGGACGGCGTGGAGATAACGTCGCCAGGCAGCAATAATTTGGCCGGTGATCCGTTTGCCATTTACGAGGCGGCTCGCAATCGGGTGGAGCGGCCGTCTATGCCGCCACCACCGCTTGGTGGCGAAAAGATATTCGAGCGCCGACAGCGCAATTTGGTGGCAACCTCAAATTTGCCGGAGTCACTGCGTGCCCGTCTCTTTGGCAGCGAGCCAGATCGCCGGGTCTCGCATGGCATCTATGCGAATGAGAATGGTAGCGAGCCGCCGAAGGGGCATATGGCTGCACCACTAATGCCTTCGATGCCCATGCACCAGCGTCGCAGTCCACCGACCATATCGATGCCGTTGCCATTGAGCGTGGTGAACAATAAGCCCGGCTATCGATTGCTGGTGAGCAATCTGCACGCGAACGTGACCACGGCGGACATAAGGGAGCTGTTCAATGACATTGGACCCATGTATGATGCGCATGTGGTGCGTCCGGGCACTGCGGAGGTTATCTACAAGTCCTTGGAGCACGCCGAGATGGCCGTGGATGCCTATCACCAGCGTGAGTTCGATGGCCAGCCCATGCACTGTGTGCTGGTCAATCCGCACTCATCCAATCGTTCCGCACACTCGATCAGGTTGGTATTCCGTTAACACTACTCCTGCTACGCCCATAATTGACTGGCTGCTTCTTCAATTGTTGTAGCTCTCGCACCGTTACCACAAACTCATCTGGCGTGGAGGTGGACATTGATGCGCTGCACTCGGTGCTCTTCCGGGATCGCTAGACAAGTGTCCCGTACAGAAGCCACACGAACTTAGGCAATTACTATGTGAACGTTTAACCTAGACACATGCATCAATTATCAATAACGTTATCTATACGTTAATCCAGCATTGGTCATCAACTCGTAACCCTTTTTTTTAGATTTAAGCCCATATTGCTGTACATTTTTGTATGCGTTGGCCACACACAAATTGCTCGGCGCCCGCTCAGTAAACCGTTAGTCAAGTTTAAACCAAGTATTTTCAATATTTTCTCATATACCAATTTTTTTTGTCTTAACTAGTAGAACTCTACTTGCAACAGGGGCTGTCTATAGTTCCCAACCCCGAAGTCATCTTATTCCACTTTTTTTTTATTTTGTTAATACTCAAAGCATCTAGGAACCAATAAAGAATATAATTGTAGTAACTCCAACAAAATAATATTTCGATTGTCCAAGTTTTTCGTTATTCTTTATTTCCAGTTGCGTGTGTAGGCCGGCCTTTAATTCAAATTTATCAGAGGGCTAAGCATATAATATTTATATGTTCTGAAATAAATTTTAAAATGTCGGACTTAAACTCATTGTTAAATACTTTTGCACGTATTTTATGCGCGTTTAGCGCTTCTCGGAAAATAGGGGGGGTCCGTGGTTGTCCTTCGGGCGAAAAACGGCATAAAATGATAGCAAAGGATGAAACTAACTGGAAACTTGTTCTACTTAATAGAATTTTCAATATGCAAATGCCTTTACAAAGAATATGTGTGCAAATGAATTAGCTTTCAGTTCGGGCTAAACAGTTAAATACTTTAACTTTTATTTGATTCATGCCTTAAATGCCTTCTACTTGGAGAATGCGCATAAAATAATTTGCAGCTTTCGTGGAGTTTTGTTTGTTTGTTTGTTTCTTGTTTAATATTTATTACATATTACATAAAAATGTACAGTAAATATTTTAAGATCGCATAAAATTAATTCATAATAATTAAGTAAAAAAAGCAGGATTAAGTCAGCAATTGAAGAGGTGCACAAAAAAAAATTAAGAAGTAGATTATTGATTCACCGTGAAGAGCGGCTCTTCAATTATCCCGGATGCCAGTGCCGTAGTTGGCGCCGCCGGCACGGTTCAATGCCTCGCGGAACAGCTCAATGTCCAGTTCGGCCTGGACGCCCGCCTGCAGCTCCACGGCAAAGTTCTGTCGAGGAACATAGGAGAGAATGAGAGAGAGGGAAAGAGAGAGAGAGAGAGAGAGAGCCTTGTTGGCCTTGTGACTTACGTTAAGCACATCCTTGATGAGCGCCTTGTCCGTTGACATTTTGGCGCGCTGTATGACGCCCACCTCCTGGCCAATCCACGTTAGAAAGATGAACTTCTTGCGCTTGGACATCTCATCGCCCATCTGTATGCGTATGTAGCCGAAGGCGCGCTCCGAGTCCCCAAACTGCTCGCGGAACTGCTCGAAGCACTGGCCACGCGCATGCACAATTATCTGCGCGCCGTCGAACTTAAAGACCGCCCACTCGGTATCTGTCAGATCGGAGCGGACATCCTCGTAGGCCTCCCGTATGGCGTCCTTGTCCAGCGAAGTCGCCAGCGGCATCTGTGTTCCAATGATATAATTGTATATGCATAAGTATTTGTGCTTGTGCTTGGGTTTGGCTTTTAATGTAATCAGTGCATTTAGCTGCAGTCCGGAAACAGCCCCCCCCCCCTCCCCACCAACCCTCCAGCACCCCTCGTATTGGCCTCTGCCCAGTTTTGTTTTTAATTTTCAAGTTCATTTAATTTGCTAGCTGTTGGGTTTTTCTGCGTTCGTGTTGGATTAACGCCTTGTGGTGTAATTTATGTGGCGCATCTGCGCATTCAGGCAACACGTATCCGTCAGATACTTTCGCTTTCGTTTCCGTGCCAAGAGCCAAAACAATAACAATAACAGTAACAGCAACGATAACAATAACAATAACAATAGCAATAAAATTATAAATCAATCACGCCAATGCATTTCGCACAAAACTCTTCAATTTGTTCAGCTCGAAATGTTGCATAAATTATATTTAGTGCAATTGCAGTTGCATGAAGATTAAATAACTAAGCGCGAATACCTTAAACCATATAAACCATAGATGTACATATATATACATATGTATATTGGTACAATTGGAATTTATCAAAATACTCTGGCTTTTATGTCGAAAGATATTGTGCAAAAAAAGCAATATAAAATAATATTATCTATTGTCTATAACTAGTTGAGAATTTTATTTATTTTTTTAAATATAGGCAGAAATCGTTTCAATGGATAATACTATCTTAAATACTTGATAATACTAGATAAAAAAGATTCTTTATTTTTAATTGTTTCTGAGTGAGGATCGAACGAAAGAGAAAGATTGAGAAAGCCGTCGCCTTCTCGAAGAACAATACACATCGCAAAGGAAACACAGTTCTCTATGTAATTCTCTCCAACTCCATCCGAAAAGTAAATTAAACTTGTATTTAGTATAAAGCAACTTTGTATAATGTATTTGTTTTTTTTAATACAAAAGCTTTATATCGAACAGATCTTTAGTTAGCTACCATTTATACAAAGTATATCAATATATATGGGATATATAATATGATAATGATATAAGTATTTTATCAGGGCTGCAAAACCTTAAAAAGTGTCAGAGGTTCGGTTCACGGTTCGAACCAACTCGTTGCCATATGGGCGCGCTTTCTGAACCTGGTTTTTCACACTGTTCAACGCCAGATTTGTATTTTCAAAATATTAAAGACAAATTCTACCTTTAAATTAATAATTACCTGCCCGCTAGTACTGAAGATGTTGCAATTAATAAATATTTTCACATACAAAATGCGGGCTAAATGAATCAGAGTTCCGGAGTGGAACCTGTTCGGTTCAAAAGCGATTTACAGCTATTATATTTATGCTTATTTGTGAATCCCAACTTTTGTTCTGTGAAAACCAAATGAAGGCTTTGAGTGCATTTAAAGCTTTAATTAATACCTGTAATACAAAAGAACAACAAATAACCGCTTAACGGTTGCTCGTGGGCACAAACATAATAATATTTAATTTAATTTAACGCACAGCTTCAGTGCGCGATTTATGCGAAAGGGCAATATACAAATAAATCGTATAAATTGCCCGCATATCAATATAGCCCGTTCTTCCGTTTACTTTATCATTGTTTAACTATGCTTATGCTTTAATATGATTATTTGTGGGCAGACTTTCCATCTGTCATGTGGTCTACGATGCAAGAGGGAGCCGGGGAGGGAACCCCCACATGCTCTTACTTTTGAGAGAGTTACAGCTACTTTGGAAAGTATCTGAGGGCGGCTGCTGCTGAGCAGCTGATCAAGCGACAATCAAGATTTATGCATTGAAACAATTTAAGCGTCACAATTTTCAATCAGCAAAGCGGCCGACACAAAAAAAAAAACCACGATAAATATAGAAAAAAACGGTTCAAAGACGGCGAGATGCGAGTTGGAAGATTGAAGATGATGTATGTATGTATTTATTTTATTTGGGTTGGCTGGAGAGAGCCAAAACAAAGAGTATAATAATAACAGCAAAACTGTCTCCAAATGGAGCAGTGCACAAAGCAGATGAGCGAGAGAGAGAGAGAGAGTGAGCGAGCGAGGCGGCGCAGCGGGAAGTAGCTGGATCATAATGCGTTCGTTGACCGAAATCGGCTTTGTGCCTGTGTGTGTGTGTGTGTGTTTGGTGTGTGAGAAAAATCAATTAGAAAAGCGCAAAGCGATTTAGAAAAGTGCGCTCTTTGAAGAGCAACAAAAAATATATGGTATCTATCACAAAGACTCAACAATTAGAAAGATGAAAGAACAAAATTTTTATTTAAGCGTTGACTTTCACGACGATTTGCTTGATTTGCTTGAATTAATTATGCAAAAACACAAAAAAAAGAATGAAGCCAAATGATGCAAAGTGTGCCAAAAAAAAAAGAAGAAGAAGAAGCAGCAAAGTAAAGCAAAGAAAAGAAGTGAAATAAATAAATATAACCGTTGCCATAATTTGTGCGCTAAGTCAATTTGCAATAGGAAACAGCTAAGCGCAAGAATAACAGACAGAGGCAGCGGCAGCGGCAGCGGCAGAGGCAGAGGCAGAGGAGACAGAATCAGAGAACACACGTTTTGGAGTAAATACAGAGTTATGACCATAGCCTCAGCTGCCATAATTTCGAGCAAAAATTAACGGCGCTTTTGCTTCTTTTTGCGGCGGCTGATAAGCCAATTCTCTCAAGTAGCTCAACAACAACAACAGCAACAAATTGGGGCTTGGGGATGCGACTGTTGGCTGGTTCATTGGGCGTGTCTGATAACTAATCAAATATAGCCGCAATTACAATGTTATAGTATGTTGCCTCTTCGTGGGTGCGCCTGAGGGTGCAGGCGGGTGCGGATACATACATACGTATGCGGGTGCAGCATTGACGTAAGCGTAATCTCTATATTCTCGGTATTCTCTCTATTCTCCAGATAAGTCGACGCGACATACACATCGAAATTGATTAATGCCCCAACTGTCCCCCCTTGCCATCCCTTCACCCATCACCCAAACACTTGCTTGTATAGCTGCGTACTTGTTCTTGTTCTTCTTCTTCTATTTCTAGTTCATGTTTATTGTTCATGGCAATTAGTGTTTGGTAAATTAAGCAATCTGACAAATCAAACAGTTCCAGTTCACTTAGCCACACCCCCCGCCCTCGCGCTCTGCAACCAGTTGTTATTTTTTCCAATTAGTGCACAAGTGTTCTAGCAAAAGAAAGTAAAAGTTATCGACAATGTTGGGTTACATGATTCGTAATCATATCACTAAAACCGTTATTGATTTCATTCTTATCGCCACACAGATTTGTTGCCAAGTGCATGCCTACTAAGTATATACATACATATAAATACATACATATATATACATACATATATGTATGTATGTATATACTTGTTTAATCTGACTTCGTACTAGTCGTTGCGTTATCTTTATCTAATCTAAAGTCCACATCTACTGCATTATGTGGGTCGATCGAGTGTCCGTCAGAGTTTCCATTCTAGAAATTTCATGAGCTTTTCTTTGCAATGTATCTTTAAATGCAAATGTATCTTTAAAAAAAGGAGGAAGTCGGTGGATAAAATGTATATATGTATCTATATTTATTTTATATCTATATTATGAGTTTTCCTTTTTGCTGCTCTTAAATTTTCAATCAAAATTACTGCTTTA